ACGTAGTAATGATGACAAGCAATGAAACCCAACACAAAAGGGGTCACCAACAGCCCATAGCAAAGCAGTCCCAGTGGCAGCTCCATGCCTCCTGCCTGCTCTGGGCAGATACATTCACTTTCTTTTCTCAAGAGTACTTGGGAAACTGTACAGAAACTAAACTCCAGACGTATTTCTTACTCGCCATTTAAGTACATTGGAAAACTTATGAGGTCAAAGATCAGAAACCAAAATCTCTCGTTTTTCCCCACCTCATGCCATTCACCTGCATTAACAAACTCTGTCAAGCCTAAATCTAGAAAAAAATCTTGCCAGTGGCAAAAACTGTGAGACTATTTGCCCAGGTCCCTCATGTGCTTTCCCTCTTAATGCTACTCCCCACTCGCACCAAGGTTCTGGTGACTGAAGACACAGAATCTGCCCTCTTCTGTCCCAGCCCTCACACCTTTGGTATCGTTAGCACCTGGCCGCCATGTGTCTTTTCCTAGCAAAATACTGATGAAACTTTTAAAATCTGAAAGCCATTAGGGATAAACTCTCAATGCCCATTAAAGTAAAAATTAAAAGACAAAAGTAGTGTTTCTAGGTCGTATTTCAAGAATTATTGGTATTCCTGAGATTACTGGGCCAAAAAATCATTCATTGATCAAAGGAGTACTTGGAAAACACTCATATACTATATTGTCTACTTGGAAAGTCACAACACACGCTGGAGTGCTTAAAGGATTTAAAAAGAGGTGAAACCAAAATAATTTTCAATTGGGGGATAGTTAAATGCATTCAAGAACAGTAATCAGCTGTTTAAAAAAGATGATATAAATTTCTACACACTATTCTGAAATGTGTCCTAGACAGGCTGCTGAATAAAAATTAAATCAAAATTCTAAACATGAATAATAGTCCATTAAAAACCTCCAAGTTCTGTGTGTGTATGTTTTATATGCAATACAATAAAATATATATAAATTCCAAAAGGATGTATACCAAATTATTAAGAATGACAGCCCCCTGGGAATAGGGCTGGGAGGCAGAGGGAGACTTACAGATTTAGGTATTATTTGAATTGTTTTATAGCCCCTTTATTACTTTTGTAATAAAAAACAAGCACTATATTAAAAAAGAGAAGTAAAAATTGAGCAGTAAATACATCTGTTTAGCTTTAAGTGAGCACGTCCCAACTCACGTGATCAAGGAACCCGTTTTGTGGAGCGCGCAGAAACAACTTGTGCAACAAATTTTGAAGTTACTGCACCCAAGGCTCTCCCCACTCCCTGCTAGCATATGGCTTTTCACCTTCTGTGACCTTCCGTAAATGAATGAAGGAGATAGAAGGGACTTCAGAGGTGGTCATAGACACTCCCCTCACTTTTGCAATGAAGGGGCTAAGGCAGTGGTCGGCAAGCTGCGGCCCCTTGAGTGTGGCTCTTCCACAAAATACCACATGCAGACTTGCACATACAGTGCGATTGAAACTTCGTGGCCACACTCAAGGGGCCAGAAAGCCGCATGTGGCTCGCGAGCCACAGTTTGCCGACCACTGGGCTAAGGTAATGAAGAGAAAGGCCTTGGCCTGAATCCCCTAATCCTCACCTGGGACCTTACACATCTTTCCTGTAATCACCAGGTGAATTAGATGGGCCATGAACTTTGAATTTCATTAAAAAACTCATTACATTTTTAAAAAATCATTAAAAAAACCTCCAGGACTCAAGAAAATTGTCAGGACCTTTGAACAAGCCCTGGTCTCAACGTGCTCCCTGCAGTTCCAGGCACAGTGCAGGGGAGTCCTAAGGACCCCTCCTTCTTCCCAATGGCCTATCTTGTTCTACAGCTTTTTAGGAGGAGGTAAGTGCCGTTGAAAGGAAGGGAGCCTAGTCCTAGCTGGTTTGGCTCAGTGGATAGAGCGTCGGCCTGAGCACTAAAGGTTCGATTATGGTCAAGGGCACATGCCTGGGTTGTGGGCTCAATCCCCAGTGCGGGGCGTGCAGGAGACAGCCAATCAATGGTTCTCTCTCATCGATGTTTCTATCTTTCTCTCCCTGTCCCTTCCTCTCTGAAATCAATAAAATATATTTAAAAAAACAAAAACAAAGGAAGGGACCTTGGAAACAGCTGGTAGAAAACAACAAGGGTCTTGCAGCAACTTGGGATTCCGGTGAAGATACATAGAAGCATAAATGTCCTCATTCCCTCAAACAGCATGGGGTTGAGCTGGGCAGAACTGGTTTTGAATCTGATCTCTTGATTCTGCCTTTCACGAGCTATCTAACATTAAGTTCCTTACCTGGGCGCCTCAGTTTCCTCATCGCTGAAATGGGGATAATAGCTTGTACGTCACACCTTGTGGTAGATATTAACTAAGATGAGGGCTAGGAAGGTTGCTCGCATATGGGGCACAGGTGTGTAGTCAAGAAATGTGACTTCCCATCTTTTCCCTCACAGAGCCAGCCACTGCTCCATTCAATCCTTACGCTACCAATCCTGGGCGACAGGCCCAGGGGATCTGCATAAAATGTACCTACCCTCGAGGAAATGGCTGTCTGGTGGAGGAGACGACACAATTTGGGCACAATGGGTGTGGCAGGTGCACTGACATAGGTGAGTGCCACTGCACCGCCCACCTGAGTACCAGGGCACCATCAGCCTGGGGGCCTGACACTGGAGCTGCCTCTCAGTGTCCCAGTGACCTCAAAGGATTCACTACAGCTTCGGTGTGACCCACAGATTTGTTGTAAACATCGCCTGGATCATAGCAGTTAAGCTGATCAAGGGAAGTATGAGCTGGGGAAGACCACACTGCAAATAAGAGGAGAGGTTAGGAGCAGAGGATCTCAAGCCACGCTGTCCACATTCAAAACCTTCCCCAGTGTTTTTTTTATTTTTTAAAATTAAACAAAACAATGCCTTTGAAACAGAGCACAGTGGTCTGGTATATAGGACGAGCACACAGGGAAACAGAACTGTTATTGAAGCTATTTGGCATGTGAGTACTAAGGCTGAGAGGCAGTGTTATTGATCATTTAAAGGCACAAAAAGATGTGGGCAGGGTGGACAATGTTACTTTTGTTCACCAAATCACAGAAGAGTGGACAGAACTACCCTTTAGAATCATAGGAACTTGGTATCAAATCCCCGGCCTGGCTCTTACTAACGTGATGTTGGGCGAGTTGCTGAACCTTGATATTCTATGCAGAACTAGAGGATAATGTCAATCTTGTGGACCATTAGAACAACAAATGCAGTTCCATAGAAATAAACCTGGCACACCGCCTGGCACAATAAATACATCCTGGTTTCTTTCCTTCCTTTCCCAAAGCTAGCAAACCAGAGAGGAGGGGTAGCCAAACAAGAGTGTTTAGAAGTATATTTGATGAAAAGAGCATTCCCCATGGATTCAGAGATAAAAAGTTAAAATGAGGATTCTGGACTAGAGGACCTTAAAGGTTCCTCTCCCATACATCGTCTATGATTCTTCAAGTGACAATGTTATTTTTGCCACATATCTTAGCTCTATCACCTAATAAATATGATCTTGTGTCCTCTTCTGTAAAATGTGGCTAAAAACTGTGCCCACTTCCCAGGGCTGCTGTTGAAATTCAGTGAGATAAAGCCCATAAAGTATTTATACTTGCCTGGCAGATAGCCACTACTCATTAATGCGGCTATCATTGCTATTATCAGGGCCACTATAAAGATTAAAAGAGACAATGCATATAGAAGTCATGTGACAGTACTTGGCACATAGGTGAGTGCCACTGCATATATATATATTTTAGCTTTCCCCCCTTTTAAAAAAATATTTTTTTATTGATTTCAGAGAGGAAAGGAGAGGGAGAGAGAGACAGAAACATCAATCATTGATTGGCTGCCTCCTGCATGCCTCCCTCTAGGGATCGAGCCAGAAACTAAGGCACATGCCCTGGCTGGGAATCAAACCATGACCTCTTGGTTCACAGGTCAACGCTCAATCACTGAGGCACACAGCTGGGCATTGTTGCTTCTAATACCCCTCTTGATTTTACATTACTAATGGCTATGGCCCAAACCAGTCATACATGCTGTCATTCCAGTAATGACACATCCAAACAGAGCCACCAAGAGATATTAGGATAATTATTCACAGTTCTCACCAGGGATGAAAGCTCTCCGGAACAAACAGCCATGTCCAGCCCCGACAGAGGCCAGGCTCGGCCTCGAGGAGTAGCAGGTGCGTCTGCATGCTCTCCGGAGCCCTGGGAGCTACACACGTGGAGTCAATGTCTCGGGGGATAATAGTTCATCTCACAAAGACCTAACGCCATAAATAATGCCTTGTCCTGAAACCATCACTTTCTGCCCAAAGTTCAAAGCTCTCCAGTGAGTATCTCATTAACTGTTGGGATTCTCTGGGGATCCCGGTGGAGAGGCATTGCTGCTATTACCTTATAAAGATGAGCGTGTACAGTTTAGAGAAATTAAATGCCGTGTCTTTGCTCCAACAGTCCACCAGTGCTGACAGAGGGCCCGGAACCCTGGGTGCGACCCCTGAGCCAGGGCTCTAAGTCCCACCCTTGAAAGCACCTTGAAAGACCGAACCGGGGGCCTTGGAAAGATGTGGCCCTTTGCCCCCCTCCCTCCCTAGGCCAGGAAATGGGCAAGGCTCACCTGTCACTGAACTGAACCTCCTCGCCGTTCCTGGCCCAGCTGATGGTGGGCCGAGGGTTGCCCACGGCCTCGCAGTGCAGAAGCACACTCAGGGTCCCACTGGCCAGGGCCACCGTCTGCCCAAGGTGGGTGACCACTTCGGAGGCCGAGAGCTGCTGGGCGGCCGAGATCTTCCGCAGGATGGTGGGCTTGCGGTGCGGCCGGCGAGAGCCACCGGCCGCCTCCCCGGAGGAGGAGGCGGCGGCGCGGAGCAAGCTGCTGAAGCTGGACACGGCCTTGCGAGGCGGGATGGCCACGGGGGGAATGCGCTGCTCGGACAGCTTGAGGAGGGCGTCCCGGTGCTCCCCGTGGCTGCGGAAGATGTCCTGGGCCAGCTGGGCCACCAGGTGCTTGCTGTAGACGTCGCGCAGCTCCTCGGGCTGCTGGGACAGGTTCCGCAGGATGTCGTCCAGGCGCTGCTGCTCGGCCACGATGGTAGAAGATCCCGTTCTGGTGCTTGTGGGTCTGCAGGGCCTCCTTGGGGTGGGCCTTCCTCACCCGGGGGGCCTCTTCCTCGCTCCTCGGGCCCCCGGGCCGGGCCACGAGCTTCTGGTTGCCTCCGATGAGCTTAATCCCGAACTGCTCGCGGGCCGGGCCGGCGGAGCAGGTGTAGATGCCGGCGTCGGCGGCCTTGAGGCGGTGGATCTTTAAGTAGCCGAAAGGGGCCACGGTGACGTGGGCCGAGCTGATGAGGTGCTGGCCGTCTTTCTCCCAGGTGATGAGCGGCTTGCGGAAGCGCCTGGTGGGGCACCGCAGCACCACGGTGGTCTTGGGGAGCAGGTACGCGAACCCGCCCACCACGAAGTGCAGCTTCCGCTGCCTGCGGGTCTGGATGTATACCTTCCTGGCCGCCTCAATGTGCGGGCTGTGCTTTGTGGATGGCCTCCCGGGCCCTGGAAGGAAAGGGAACAGACAGGCGGACAAATGGAGAGCAGAGAGACACGAGAGTGAGATGCGGGGACAAGCCAGAGGGGAAAAAAGAGAGTGGGAAGGGAAGAGAAAATGAAAGGATGGGACAAAAGAGAGAAGGGGTGGTGAAGAAAGTGCTTCAGAGTTGCCTTATGTTTCACTGGAGGAACTGGCTACCAGCTGTGCATCATCATGAGCTGCAGTGGGGCTCTCGCCCTGCTGGGTCTTTCTGTCCCTAGAGCAGTGGTTCTCAACCTTGGCTGCACATTAGAATCACCTGGGAATCTTTTTAAAATCCTGATTTCTGGGCCTCATTCTCTGGGACTTCTGTTACTTTGTTACTAATGTTGTGACCTCACCCCATAACAAAGAAACAGAATTTCCGGAGGATGAGGCCCAGAAATCAGGATTTTAAAAAGATTCCCAGGTGATTCTTATGTGCAGCCAAGGTTGAGAACCACTGGCCTAGAGACTGGGATGCAGGGTTCTAGGTACAGGGGATTCCAGGGGGAAGCAGTTCCTCTCATTAAAAGGACTTAGAAATGAGCATCATTAAAAAGAGGCAGAGGACAAAGGGAAGGGGAATGTCCCCCTCCCACGTTTATCCTTTGCACCCCGCAGAGCACCAGGGCCCTTGTGGCCCAGCGGGGAGGAGAGCTCAGAAGTGTTCCAACTCTAGGGATTAATTTAAAGAGAAGAAATCTGTTCCGAGTAGTTTAAAACCCCAGAGAGGATAACATGAGCCTTCATTAGTAGTAGGCTGCCTCCAGCTTCCAGATCGCCTTATGTCCGCGAGTGAACTTTGCTCTCCCCCTTGCAAACTGTTTTTCCAGGAGAGAAGAGAATCTCACCTGGTCACCAGTAATTAAGATTCCTTTTCCATCTCCAGCTGAGCCCCCCAGCCTGCTGCCCTCCAGGGCCCAACAATCTCCCACCGGCCCGGGCTTAGGGAAGGTCACTGTGTGCTTCCACGTGGGTTTCATCTCCCCATCCCCAGAGCTCCGAGGTACTCACTTGCACAGATTGCCAGCATGCAGGGCCTGATTGAGGAGGAGAACGGCAGGGGAGGGCACAGGGAGGAATTGACAATAGCCGAGACCCCGGTTTTCAGCACCTTCCGGCAAATGGCACTCCGCGTCTGGGTGCCCTCGCCGCAGCTTGTGGAACACTGATGGAGAGAAAGGCCAAATGCGTGTAAATATAGGGAACTACAGGCAAATGGGCTTTTGTAAGAGTTCTCAAACTCACCAACACATGAGAAAAGTTATTTGAAATCTGCAATAGTCAGAGAGAGAGAGAGAGAGAGAGAGGATATTACTGGACAATGTGTGAAGACATGTCCATATTGCAGCCACATAACATTTTCTACTGTAAGGTTTCCTGCAGACATTTCACCTGTTTTGGTATATGGCCTGGGCTTTAGAGGAACAGAGTTAGAGAGTCCACTGTTCAAATCCATCTTAGTTTTTCACTACTTGGCAAGTGACTTAAACTGTCTGAGGCTATTTCTACTTCTTGTGCTTATTTTGCAAGGTTGGGCATTAAATGAGGTAATATATTTCAAATGTCATACACAGAACTGGCATTCAATGCTAATTCCTTTCTCCTTTCTTCACAAATAAGTTACAATATTTTAATGTCAAGCATCAGATAATTGTTATAATCTACATCATTTGAGGTGGGGTGCTAGATACTATAGAAAAAAGTTGTGCAAGATAGTTCCTAATGTCAAGGGGCTGTCGTCAAATGAAGGAAAAAATACAAATACATTAATAAAATGAAATAGTACTTTAAGGAAATAGAAATCAAAAGCACATTGAGATACCACCTCATATTCATTAGAATGGCCACCATAAAAAGACAGGTAATAATAAGTATTGGTGAGGATGTGGAAAAATTAGAGTCTTCATAGATTGCTAGTAGGAACATAAAATAGCATAGGCCTCTTGGAAAACAGTGTCAGTTTTCCTTTTAAAAAAATTTTTTTAAATAGTTTCTTAAAAAGTTAAATATAAATTTACCATGAAACCCAGCAATTTCACTCTTAGGTATCTAAGAGAAATGAAAACATACATCCACACAAAGACTTGTATGTTAATATTCATAACAACATGTTCATAACAGACAACAAGTGGAACTCAAATGTCCATTAATTGGGAAATGGATAAACAAAATGTGGTATATCTATAAAATGGAATATTATGCTATCATAAACAGGAATTTAGTTCTATGTGCTACAACATGAATAAACCTTGAAAACATTATGCTAAATTAAAATTTATAGTATTCAAATTTTGAGTCAGTGATCACTTCCCACCATTCTCAGCCCCTTCCCAAAATCTAAACTGTTTAAAGAGTCAAATAGTAATAGAAATTTTAGTAAAAATACAAAACTAGAAGACAAATGAAGTATTATAAAATTAATTCTAACAATTGTTGAATGCTTATGGTACACTGGGGATTTCCTGACCTAGGTCTTGAACATGGGTGGATCTGGACAGGTGTAGAGAACCAGGGATAAGCATGGGAGACAGGGAAATAACCAGATCAAAGGTAGAACTGTTCAGTGCAGAAGTCCAAGGCAGGTTTGAGGGCAGAACTCAACCTCTTTTGAGCAGAAGGATCCTATCGAGAGCGTCAGGAGTTCAAGAGGCCAGACGTTGGAGACTTTTAATTTTTCAGACAGGAGGTTTGGAATTGGTCCATAAAGCAAAGAGGAGCCATTGAAGGGAGGAGTGAAATGATGAAAGAGGTGTTATGAGAAGGTTAATCTGGCAACAGTGTCCAGGAGGGAGGGGAGTAGGAGATGGATGGCAGGTAGGGCTATCAGTTAAGGAGGCTGCCACAGTAGTCCAGGCTTGAGATGATAAAGGCCTGAACTAGGGTCATGGCAGTGTGCCATGGTAACTTAAAAAATGACAGTAAAAGCCAAAATATATTATCTTTTCAAGTATTATATCCTAGCCCATTGAAATAAACTATTCCATGCAAAGTTCTATGATCTACACTACTCTGAGAGACATTTAAGATGCAAAAAGTGGGGATGAGAGTCAAATCTATTGATTTTGTTCACCGATGATTATAGATTCCAGATTCCACTCATCCCCTATTTTATTGTAAATGACAGCACCAAATCCAGGGATCAGGTAGAATAGAGGTAAAGAGCCTGGAAAATTTGAAAGCATGGTCATTTTAGGGCTGCTTAGTAGAAAAATAGACTGCATGTCAGACGATTAATTTATGATATTGGTCAAGTCTAATTCTTTCTCTAGGCTCAATTTCCACATTGCTAAAATACGGAAACTAAGCTAGAGCAGGGAGTTTCAAACTGTGTTCTATAACTATGTTAAGTGATTTAGGGGCTTCTCATATGAACTGGAGACCCAACCATTGGAAATCTGGGACCACTACCCACACTTCAACCAAAATAGCTCTGACTTGATCTGTTTTAGATTTTTGGCTTCATAGTAACATTTCAATTTAAAAAGAGTGCTGTGATTTTAATTTTTAAAAGAACAGCTAGGCTATAGGTTCTTTTTCTCAGAGTAGAATCTGAGAGTAATTTTATTTAAGGTGTCTAAACATTTGGCTTAATTCTGTCTCTGAGGGATTCTGTGAAGTAACCAGGAGAGTGAGGCAGATAGTGGAGGATAAAGACACTCATAGATCATCCAGGTCTTCCTTTCTCCAAGGGGGCTCTGGGGTGGATGTGTGGAATGCAGGTCTCATCTCAGCCATGGGGCCCAGAGAAGGGCTGTTGGGATGACAGGGCCAACTGGAGCCTCTGTGAACACCTCCAGGGGCACTTTTGTGTGGCACCAGTGTGAGTTTCATCTCCTTGAGTCAGTGATCACTTCCCACCATTCTCAGCCCCTCCCCAATATTTGGAATTTCGATTCACCAACCCAGATAACTCAGAATCTAATAACATCCCTTTGATAATCACAAATGATTCCTAGTTCCCACAATACAACTTCCTCCTCCTAGGAAGACTGGCAAGGGCTGGGGAGGTCTATGCCATGACCCTTGTTTTAGCTAGTCAAGGTGAGTCCTTTCTTTTATTACCTCTCTTCCTATGTGGCTCAGTGGTTCCCATGGGACCCCAATTCAGCAGTCTCCTTTCCTGAGTGCCTGATCACAAGGGTTCCTCCTTCAAATCTGCAGGCCAAAAAGGACATGTTCTGAATTCTGTGTCCCATATGCTCAGGGACTACAAAGTCCAGGAACACGGGAGGACAATTATAATCACACAGTCAGCATTCCCTTCATGGCAGGCTATTAACCATGGACGTAGGAGAGCAATACCTTTTGCAGTACACCCTGGGAAGAGGTCTTCATCTGCAGCCACATACTTGGCAAATGCATCAGGGCTCTTTTCTGCCCTGCTATATTTATTATGACTTTTTTCATATATAATACCATACCCAAAATCATTGTTCCATGGGAAAATTTTCACTACCATATTCATGTAGACACACACACACACACACACTCACACACACAGACGAATACACACATTCTCATTCTACATACTGCTTTCCTTTATCCTTTATTTCTAAAACATGACATTTTATTGTTCTAAGACATTTGGGGTGAGAAACCACCAGAAGGCAATTTTACTGCTAAATTATAAAAACTATGATAATGTAGGATAACTCTCAATTGCAATGTCCTTAGCAGGCCTCATCTGATGGAACACTATATGGCAGTGGTTCTCAACCTTCTGGCCCTTTAAATACAGTTCCTCATGTTGTGACCCAACCATAAAATTATTTTCGTTGCTACTTCATAACTGTAATGTTGCTACTGTTATGAATCATAATGTAAATATCTGGTATGCAGGATGGTCTGTGAAAGGGTCGTTTGACCGCCAAAGGGATCGCGACCCACAGGTTGAGAACCACTGCTATACGGGTTGATAAAATGTGGGATGAGAATTGTAAGAACCTATGTTGATAGAGCTGGCATCTTAATTTTCAGAGGCAGCTTCCCCTGTGGTGGAATCAAGTGCCCTGTGATGTATTTCAGCCAGCACAGCTCCACCCTGTGACTTGTATATCAAGCAAAGAAGGCAATGGAGTCAGCAAAGCCAATTCAAATGCTGCCCTATGCAAAAAAAAAAAACAACAACAAAAAAAACAAAAAACAAAAACAAAAACAAAAACAAAAAGTGGAGAGGGCCTTGAATTTGGTTTTGACACTTCACTTCAGGCCTAGTGATTCTGTTCTTGGCTAAATTTGCTTGAGGGGCAATAATTTGGGGGGAAAGGGGCTTCTCTATGGAAGACACACAGGCCTGTTGTAGGCAATTGAGAAAGATGCGGGGACTGAAAACGATCAGTTGAAGCTGGGTTTAAATGAATGAATTGACGCTAGTGTTAGAATAGGAATTATTTAGACAAATAGATTAGTTGGGGACATATCCCTAACTTTTGAGGCAAGTCAGGAATGGTGAAGGCTGTTGCAATCATCTCCCTAAAAGCAAGAGGGGAAATCAAGTTATCTTGCTGGGAAGTTGTTGAAGGTTTGGAGCCAGGAACCTGACAGGAAAGAGGCAAGGTTTCCTCGGCCTTTTTTTCCTACTAAGTCATGTTCCTGATTGTCTAGTAACGTGGAAGAGAAGAACTTGAGAGGCTTCGCCCTTCCTAAGTAGAGACTAGAAACATCCTGGAGTAGGAGGTGCAGGGAGGTCAGGAAGACACGTTTGGAGATAGAGGGAGAAGCAGCCTATGTTCTGAGAAGAATGCTGGGCCCGAATAGCTTGAGTGAGGCCTGGTTTTGTTCCATGAGGAGCTTGTTTATAACTGCATGCTTCAGATTGCCGAAGAAGGGCTGGCTGCTTAACTCGCGTCCCTGTAGACTAGTTAAAAGTTAATCACACAGGATGGTGTAAGTGGTTACAATAATATGGCTCTATAGTGTTAGGAGGATGATTTTGTTCCATTCTCGCCTTCTATATGTATCTACTTAGGGTGCCTTCTTTTCCTCCTTATTTATGCCTCTTGCATCATCTCCTCCTACCACACGTACCTCTGACCAGTCAGAGAGGAGCCACTCGCTGGGACAGTCCTCTTTCTTGCAGGCTTGCTGGGAGGCCAGTTTCGAGGCCGAACAGAAGGTCTCGGGAAGCTCCAGGAAGCTGCCATCGGCCATGCGCTGCTTGCAAAGCACCTCACGCCTCTGGACGCCCCCTCCGCAGGTCCTGGAGCACTGGGCAGGGAAGGAAAGTCAACCCAACATAAGGAAGTGGCGTGCTCGAGTGCCCGGTTTGGCCTTGGCCTTGGCCGAGGAAAGAGCGAAAAAAGGAAAAAACAGAAAAAGAAGAAAACCCAGAAACCAGCCCAGAGGATTTCGCTTCCTCTCCATGAAATACATTTTGGAGCAAGATCTACACCCTCCACGCTTAATCTCAAGTATTTAACTAGAGCGCCAAGGAATTTGAAGAGCATTTAAATCTTAGAAAGTTGCGTTTAAAGGATGATTTGCAGCCATCCAAGACAACTGGTTTAAAAGGTTAGTATAATGGAGTGTTAAGCATATTTACGATCCAGTGAAAATAATCTGTGCTGCCTCCTGAAAGAATAAGAGCTCCGCCTGCCATCGGTGTAAATCTGGAGGAACTAATCTGCAGAGCAGGCAGCCCTTTCTGAGTGTGAGCGCCCAAGCTACCACATCGGAGGGGCGTTAAACGCGAGGCCTGGTTTGCTGAACTCCCCGGGAACACTTTTCTTGTTGGAGTTGTGATTTCTTAGGGCAGTGGGAGCAAGAGCCACTGATATTTGGGATACAAGAAAAACAGCCTTAT